AAAAAGAAAAAGAAAAAGAAAAAAAAGATTATAAACAAGCGGCTTCTGATCTTGACAGTGGTTATACATTTTTACCTTGCCCTGTCTCTCTAAGGTTACATCATAATTTCCTTCTTTCCATAAGCTACGTTTCTAATCTTCAGACCTATAAATCACAAGTTCATTTTTCCCTTTTTTCGCAAAAAGTCCATAAGAACTTTCCAGTCACTAACAAATTTAGTTGTTGATCTTTCTCTAATCAAACAGGTTAATTTTGCCATCTCTGCTAGTTCTCCCTCCTCCTTCCTTCTTATAGCCATCTTGTTTCTCCTCCTCACGAATGCTTCCACCATCTGGGGAAAATAGCTTCTGATGGATAGGGGCCACAGCCTGTCAGTAAGACACCATGCCCCCACAGTCAGTGACCACTGGTACTGGCTCAAGAAACACATAGTGAAGGCCCACAAAGGCTGATTCGTCTGAAACTTTATTTTGTTGAGATGGACACTTGACAGGTGAAGTTCTTCTCTCCCTCTCCAACCCCATGGTCAAACTCTTCTACAGGTAGTCCTTGCTTAATGACCACAATTGGGACCAGCAACTCCATCGCTAAGCAATGCAGTTGTTAAACGAGACATCATGTGATCGTGATGGACTTAGGACCTCACTTCTGCCATGGTTGTTAAGCACATCATCCGTGATTGTTAAGCAAGACATCACGTGACTGCGTCTTACAATTTTACTGCCAGCTTCTCTACTAATTCTGCTTGTCAGAAGCTGGCTGTGAACTGCACAAATGGCAATCGTGATTGCAGGATGCTGCAATGGTTGTAAATGCCAGTTGGTTGTGAAGTGCCCAAATCTCGATCACATGACTGCAGGGATACTGCAACTGTCGTAAGTGTGAGGACTGGTTGTAAAGTTACTTTTTCAGTGCTGTTGTAACTTTGAATGGTCACTAATCAGGGCAGCCATTAAGCAAGGATTACCTGTATTGCTCTCCCCACCATACAGTATACGGCACACTTGCCCATCAGACTCTGTGGCTTTCCCATGACTGTTACTCATGCTGAGGCTATACTAACAGATTTCATATGCCCCTTCAGTTTGAATTC